CCCCTCCCCAGCCACAGAACTCTGTCCCCACTCCCCTGTCCCCAGCTACAGAACGCTGTCCCCACTTCCCTTCTCTCCCTCCCCTCCCCACTCCCCAAACGCTGTCCCCACTCCCCTGTCCCCAGCCACAGAACTCTGTCCCCACTCTCGTCCCCACTCCCCTGTCCCAAGCTACAGAACTCTGTCCCCACTCCCATCCCCACTCCCCAAACGCTGTCCCCACTCCCCTGTCCCCAGCCACAGAACTCTGTCCCCACTCTCGTCCCCACTCCCCTGTCCCAAGCTACAGAACTCTGTCCCCACTCCCATCCCCACTCCCCAAACGCTGTCCCCACTCCCCTGTCCCCAGCCACAGAACTCTGTCCCCACTCTCGTCCCCACTCCCCTGTCCCAAGCTACAGAACTCTGTCCCCACTCCCCAAACGCTGTCCCCACTCCCTTGTCCCCAGCCACAGAACTCTGTCCCCATTCCCATCCCCACTCCCCAAACTCTGTCCCTACTCCCGTCCCCAGCTACAGAATTCTGTCCCCACTCCCCTGTTCCCAGCTACAAAACTCTGTCCCCATTCCCGTCCCCATTCCCTGAACTCTGTCCCCACTGGCACTCTGTCCCCTGCTGCAGAACCCTGTCCTCTGCCCTCCCAGCACCCTGTTCCCTCTCCCCTGCCTCCAGCCACAGAACTCTGTCCCCACAAAATGTATAATTATAAATGCTTCATTTTAGATTTAAATATCATGAATAAAAAACAGACCATTTATTTCATAACTATAAACACGTGATTTTAATTTTATATATCGCATAACTTAAACATAAACTGTTTATCAGAGTGTGTAAGTAAGGGCTGGGGATAGCAAGTGATGGACAGGAGGAGAATAGAGAGGGCGGGGCTTCAAAGAAGGGGCAGGGTTGTAGATCTTCGCCTGTTCTGAGATTTAAAAAGTGATCTTGGGTATAAAGAGGTTGGAGACCACTGCTCTACAGGAAAGAATTAATGGACACGAATTTGATATCCGAAAAGGCAACACACAGTAACCTGTTGGAGAACACTTTAACCTGCAGAGGCACTCATTCATGGATCTCAAAATCACTGTGTTGTTTCAGGCCAATTCCACAGGGAAGCGTTGGAACTTAAACTTCATTTACAAGTTTGGGACCCATCACAAAGGTCTGAATAAAGACATTATTCACACTACCTTCCACATCCTAATGACTCAACCAACCAAACAATGGGTACTTAAGAACAATCTGAACCTTCTCTATCAGCTTCATGTAACACCAGTGCTCTAATTCACTATTTTTTCCCTTCCTTCTTCCCCTCCCCACTCCACATCCCCTATTTATTTTGGAACTGGACCTTTAATAACTCCAGTCATCTGAAGTGGGTTGTACTCACAAAAGCTCACGATCCCATCTACATGTTTTGTATTAATATCAGCGTCAGTCCTATAGAGCTAGGTATGCATCTTATACCAGAGTAACTACAAGTCAACTGTGATACTCCAGATTTACACCAGTAAATAAGTGGAAAGTTGGGCCCACTAGACATCTGTTCTGATTTACAAAAGTGCTGTTCATTAGTTTCCTGGCCTGCCATTTAGCCCTACCGAGTGACAGAAGGAGTTGGGAGGAAGGCTTATCGCATGGAACTGGCTGGAAGGTATATTGCAACCTCCATAGACTCTGATGGGTTCTGTAAGCTTCCATGCAGATCTTAGTAGCTTAATGGTTCCTCCATATCTTTTAACGAACACACATCAAAAATATAATTTAAAAAGAAGCCAAGATTTAAAAAAACAGACTATTCATGTTGCTTCCAAATTTGTATGTAAGGTACAGGTTGAACCTCTCTAGTCCAGAACTCTCTGGTCCAGAAACATCCATCATCCAGAATGATTTTAGTTAGCTGAAAATCCACCCATGTCCACTTTTCATGGGTGTGGCCAAGTTTCCTGCGGTCCCATAAAGTTTGTTTACAGCTACCAGACCTGGCTCATCCCCCTTCTGTTCTGAAATTTGATTTGTCCTTTTCATATGTGTTTATTTTCTTGATTTTATCCTTTGGTATATATGGTCGTGCCAATTTTCTTCCACTATTTGATCTGAGGAAGTGGGTCTGGCCCACGAAAGCTCATCATCTAAGAAACCATCTTGTTAGTCTTAAAGTGCTGCATAGTCCTGGTTTTTGTTTCAGCTACACCAGACTAACACGGCTACATTTCATCACTGTTCTGTGCTGTTATTTAGCTCTAATTAACCCCTAAATGTCCTCTAACAACAGCCCAGTAAGCAGTGGCAGTGTTGGTAATGCTCCTAGACAATATTAGTCTCCCGTGGTCAGAAAACTCTCTCATTCAGAACTGGTCAGGTCCTGAGGGTGCTGGACGAGAGAGGTTCAACTTGTACTGAAAATGAGCGGCTGGGTTGAGTTTCAAAAGTGTTGAGCACCTGTAGTTTCCATTGAAATCAGCTAAATCAAAATCTAGCCAATTATTTCCCTGCCTAGTGCTGAGGTTTGACCCCCTTTTTGAAAATCTTGGCAGCAGCTTTTACCTACAAGAGTGGCCCAATGGTTTGCAGTGCTAAGGAGGTCAGGGTGAATGGCACACTAGCAAACCTGCCCTGATTCTCTCCACTGTTGGGGTTAGAAAGCTCATACAGCATTTCACACTGGTTACCCGGCTACTGTGGTGTAGGCAGCACTGGAACACAATGACAAGGAAGACTGTCGGGTAACGTGAATGGAGCAGCGCTGGCTTTGTTGGTGGCAGGAGTCACTGTAGTACAGACCCCAAATAGTTCAGGTTCCCACTGGAATAACAGATAACCATTTATCCTTCCAAAGTTCAAGAGGCTTTTAGGCTGGAGCTCACAGCTCACCTGTTCAGCCTTTGGAACCCGAACCAATTTCAACAGGACTGATGGACAGAGACAGACTATTAGTTTGGGAGGTAGAAGCAGGTAAGAGTCAGTGCTCAGAAGAGACAGGCTGCATGCCGGGGAATCTCAGTGCTAAGAAATCCTCTCCCCACCTGCTATTGCAGTTCAATAGCTCCTGAAGCCAACACTCAAAGGGGAGAGTAAATAGGTAATCTAGATCCACCGTACAGCATCTTCCCTCACCCATTCCTGACCTTGACACACTGGGGTGAAGGAAATTCCCTGATGAGGAGAAGGTTCCTAAACTACACCCCCCACAAACTGCACAGATCGGAACCCCCTGCCATAGCACAGATGGCAGGGTTCGGTCTATGTGGTTGCTGTACTATACCCGAAGATCCCATGATCAGTAGCACAGGCTAGGTTCTTACTGTTACTTTAAAGCATTTTACTTAACAAAACCATTGTATTTCCTCTTCCATCCTGCTATTCCTCCACAACTACCTGGACTTTAAAGCTCACTCTTTCATTATGCCTAAATGTCAAGGCTTAATTGCCTCGCCTCAACGTTAACTTTCAAGCCAGCAGAACTGCTGGTGTGATACAGCAGGCTAATAGAACTGTTCATGGTGATTTAACCCTTCGCAAAGAAAATCAATTATTATTATTATTATTGATTCCCAACAGCAATATTTCATCTCCTAAAAGAAACTGAATCTTCACTGGAAAACACAGAATTCATTTTTGTACCTGTCTAGCCATCTATGGGCTGGGATATTCCATCTGGACCAGAACTGTAGGACGGAGTCTGCATTCCTACGAGAACAGAACAAGTAAGGGGATGTCATTGCATAGCACAGAAGGAACACACAATGTTGTTACACCAAAAATCAAAATGCAGCTCAGTCAATCTGCTAATTACAACTACATTTTCCATGGCACTACTGAAATAACCTTAGGATAAGGGCTTTGGCATTCTCTGTAATGCAAGCCCTGGAGTCAGAATTAAATGCAGCACTTGCTATTTAAAGTAGGAGGGTTTAAAAAAAATCATGTGCACTCTGGTATACTGTACAGTTAACTCCATTTTCTCACACATGTAACTACTCTGCAGTTGATTTGTATGCATATATCCCTCCAGTAGTAAGCCCGCCATTTTTACCAGATCTAGAACTTGGGAGCCAATTATCTCACATTTAATGATGATACATGATGATAAGTTTTGAAACCACGAAGTGCTGTGTGTGGCAGATATGGCAATTTCCTGCAATGTCTTTGAAAGACTTTATTATATTATGTTTATGTGTTCTTATGGGCCGGGATTGTATGTAACCTTTCTGGGGGGGAGATATGACAGATGTGAAACATGGGAGCTCATAAGACAATATTGGAAATGAACTAGACAGGTATGAAAAACCCAATTGTGGGTTTGAAGTACTGAATTTTACCAGAGCCCCATGCTGGATTTTGGGGTGATCTCTGCTAAGATTTCTAGCACGAGTGCAGGTTATTTTATGTTTTAATGTGGTTTCTCTGTAATGCTTTTACCTTAAGAATGAATGTGCTTGCTTAGGGAGCTGAGGGGTAAGTTGAAACTGTGAGTGATACACCAGTCACAGCAAAGCATAGGCACTAGCCTCGTAGAGTGCAACTACACTGCAGGGCTTAACTTGAAATAAGCTACGTAAATTGAGCTACGTCAATTGTGTAGCTTATTTCAAAATCGCTTATTTTGAAATTGGGAGCGTCTACACAGCACTTATTTCGAAATAAAGCCCTCTTGCTCTGACTTCCCTTACTCCTCACCTAATGAGGGTTACCGGAGTCGGAGTAAGGAGTCCTCCAACTTGGCAGTATTTTGACACTATTTCGAAAAAACTGCCTGCTGTGTAGACGCAGACTAAGTCATTTCAGAATAGTGTTGTAGTGTAGACGTACCCTTAGGCAGTCTGGCTTGCTGGATGTCACAGCATAAGCCAGGGAGCTGTGCAGCCTTAAAATGCCTAGTGAGAAGAGAGTGAGATTTGCGTCTGCCCAAGAGAGGTGATGGATAGGGTCTGGAAGCCTGAAGTGGGTGTCCTTGGTGGACCATGGAGAGGAAATATAAATATAGCTGCCTTGACCTGTGACAATGAATTTAATGTTTTAGGTCTTTCATGGACAGTTAAGCAGTTATCAAGTCTTTCCTCTCTACAATTAGGTCTAAAGTATTTGGTATAGAAACACACAGTGAAAAGAGAGCCCTGAAAGCCAGTGGTTTTTTATTTCAGCAAAAATCAATATCTAAAAGATCTGCAGAGATTAGCATGCCTCCGCCAAATATTTTAAAGAATGACTGAAAATGGCAAATCAACATTAAAAAATGAAAGAAAATAAACCCTTCTTCCTGCT